GATACACCTATCATGGATAAACGAAGGCCCTAGTGCGCGTTTATTCTCAACCCACGTATAGATAACAACACGATCCGTCATCAGCGGCGCACGGTGCGCACGCCACGACCAATTTTAGCATGTTGTGCAAATTTCATGATTTTGAATATTTTCAGTGAATTAGATCAGGTCAAGTTAGTTCATGTTGTTTTATGTTGAGTTGGTCGAATGACATTGCCGGACGACCGATAAGGATCGGCCGTGGACGCCACGCCCGCAGACAGCGGGTAGTGCGCGCCGGCAGTCATGCGCGCTGTTCGGATGACGTGCGGTTACGTCCAGTTGGGCGTCGCGTGTGTCCCCTGTGCGCAGGCAGTCATCGATTGGCAGCACATAGTGTAGGCCAATAGGCGTAGCACGGTAGTGCGCAAATTCGCACGACAGTCGAGCACGGGCAATGCCCAACAGCTTGCCGAGTGGTCAGCACCGCGCGAGTAGCACGGCAACACCCGTGCGGTATCCAATCAAGTTCAGCCAACGTTGCGTGCGCGTTCTTATGTCCAGGTACCTATCGCGGTGCGCGGTAGCGCCCGACAGCATTCAGCGGCGCTTGATGCCAACACACATAGCGTCTGGCAGTGCCCGTCAGCCTCACGCATGTCCAGTAGCGCCCAGTCGGGCAAAATTCAGGTCAGCCGCGGCCAGACACTGCGGCACCATAGCCCAGGGCCTCGGCAAGCCACGCAGCCAACGCCCGCGGTCAGTCCAGGCAGTGCCCAGGCGCGCAGCCTTAGCAGGCCCGTTGGCCTAGTCAGCGCCCGACTGCCCGACCACAGCAGACCGGCGGTCTGGTCCAGACCAGTTCAGACCGGTTAGACCGGTTCAGCCTATATTTCATGTTTTAAGTCCCGGTTCATGTTCAAATCTCATATTCAGTTAAGTTATCAGTTCAGTATTTTCAGTCTAGTCAGTTAGTCAGTTCAGTTCAGTATTTCAGTTAAATTTTCAGTTCAGTCATGATCATTCATTTGCAGTCAGTTCAGTTCAGTTTAGCAGTACCAGTTCAGTCCAGTTTTTCTTATCAGTTAAGTTAAGACCCCGAGATGATTCCAGTTAACTATTCAGATCGAGTCGAGCATCTTAACAACTATTTTAATAAGTCTGAGCATAGTACTTAGTATTTGTTTATATATGTCAGTTTTGCAGGCAGTCAACACTTACATTTTCAGATCAGCAGTTCAGGTGGGGACTCAGACTAAGTACTACAT